GTGTGCGAAATCTTTGATCGAATACTAAAACAAATAAAAAAATAAATAAATAAAATATTAATGGGTCAAAATGTTTTTTTTTATATCAATCACCTACAGCATGAAACAGTTTGACAGTATTGGACGATGATGTCATATGACTTATATGACTTACATGATTTGTCTTATATGAGTGTTATATATAAATTATATGATATTAATTCTATACCATATGACATGTGATATTATTTGTATTATATACGTACGTACGTACATACAATATAACATTATGTTATTGTCATTGTCCAACATTGGTTTGACAATTTTAAGTATAGGCTGCCGAAAAACCAGCTGTTCTTCTACCTACCAAAGAAGTAACTTGCTATGTACAGTTGAATGTAAAAACCGATAAGAATTATTTTTAAATTTATGTAATTTTTTATTCATGCGAATTTTTTATATGTTCTATTGTGGCTTTTTTTTTTGATTGATTATGCGATTTTTTTTAATTTTATATGTAAAATTTTATGTAAATTTTGTAGCTTTTTTATTTATGCAAAAGAATGTTTACAATATAATTAATATTTATTATCGGTCGTATAATTTTATGTTTTTTAAGTTTTTTCACGATTGAACATTGTTTCAAAATTTAATAATGACAGGTTAATCTGGAATTGGCATGAATTGTGAAATGACACAGAATATTAATAATAAAATAAACATATTGAAATTTTCGTAACAGTGGGCAAAGATTTTTTAACCAATAACATTATTATTCTAAAAGTAAAATAAACAATAACAAAAAATAGATAAAAAATATTTATACGTATAATTAGAAAACATAGTATATACGTATTATAAATATTATTAAATACGATTTAGGATTATACGTAACCCATTTTTTAATAATATAATTTTAGAATTTTTTCCTAATTAAACAATCATTTTTGGTAAATTAAATCTATTTGTTCATCATATAAATTTCTAAAGCTAATTTTGGATATGGTGTATTAATTTGTTCAAGAAAAGTCAGACCATATTAATAACAAAAATGAATTAAAAATTTTGTGTAAATAATAAAATTTAAAATATAATTAGGTTCACAAAAAAAACATTTTAAAATTTATGTAATTTATTATTTATGTTAAATTATTATTAAATACAATATACGTATACTGTAGTTACTACGTAGAATCATTAAACTTACCACTTTCCGCTGTTAAAAGTGTTATAATTATCGTCAATTATGGTATAATACACCAATCAAAATAGTGCATTGTAAATTAGTGTGACAAATTCTACGTATTCAACGAATATTTAACAAAAAAGGAATCCAGAATTGTTAAGCCTTATTCAAAATCATTATGCAACAATTTAGAGCACTAAATTAAAGATTAAAAGCAGTTAGTTGATTATCATAAGTTTGTATTGTTATATATAATTTATGACAATTCAAAGAATATCTTGAAGTGTTTTATTAATTCTGTAAATCGTTCTGCAAGTAAATTAACAGATTCAGGGATGAATTAAAAGCTGATACGTACGGACTATACTTACGTAAATACAAAAGTAGCTAAAATTCGTAATTATGAATAACGACAATGAACAATGTAAATTAATTAGGTGCATGTAACCAAAAAAAAATTACATAACCGTAATGGTGCATCTGACGACAATCTCAAACGCCCTATCAAGAACGTAAAATGTGAGTACGTCATTGATAAGGGATTGGACTGTACAAAACTAAGTTAAAAATGTAAAATAATTTAATAAACTGAACCAATAATAAAACAAGACATTTTGTTTGTTAATTAAAGAATTATTTCGTCGTCAATGAAATTTATTTGTTATCACAAATTGACCAACCAGCGGAAAAATGAGAAAATCTTTGGACCCTTGAGAATAAAATTAACTATTTTTACAATGTAAAAGAATTGATTGGTGTGCGTGTTTTATATGTATAAATATATTTTGTGTTTTTTTTACCATACATTATAAAATAAAAACAACTGAAAAAAATCAGTATAAAAAGGTGAATAACTTTAACTTTTTAATGTTGTTCATCCTCTTTCAATATGTTAAGAAGAAGTTCGGGCAATAGAAGAAATCGTCATCAAAGAAATATGAATATGACACCAAACTTACCAAACCCACCAAACATAAACTTAGCTGCCGTCCAGTTGCACGCAGACTTCTCAAACGGCATGCCAAATTTATTTGAATCAAAAGCAATTGACGCTCAACATCAAGAACAATTAAACATTGCCACTGAACTCTTCGATGGTATTGCGTTCCCAACGACCAACTAAAGCAAAGAGCATGAACAATTTCCTTTAAATATTTATTTGATCAAGCAAAATTGAAAAAAGATCATTTTTTATCACGAAATAATTTCTAAAATCACATCATATTGCGCATTATCGTCTTTGTTGTGCATTATCTTTGTTGTTTTATTTACGTTCATTTATTTCGTTATTTAATTTATTTATCCCGTTATTATTACTTGTTTCCGTTTCGTTTTCGTTTTCGTATTCGTAATTAAATTTCTTTGTTGTCTTATGATATTTATATCATTCGAATTATAAGTATTTTAACTATTAACATTTAAGGTTATGTAAGATTTATCGAAATGTATTTTATTAAAATGGTTTAAAATTTAATAAACTGATATTTTTTCGTAAAGCTCTTATTTATTAAATATATATGACTGTTTAAAGAATGCTGTATTATACTTAATGCTTAAGCTTACAGCATATTTCTAATCCGTTCTATGAACATTTATGTTTAGTAAAAACTTTTTAGCTACGTAAGTACATGCGTGCATATGTATACAATAATGCTATATTTGTTATGTAAATAAGTAGGTGTTCTTCCATAGCAAAGATTTTCCGACATCGTAGAGTTAAAGTTTTGCACAT